TGGAAATTCCTTATCGAATTCCTTTCTAACTCCGTTTCCCCTTCCTGGCCCCAGCGTTTCTTGGGAAATTCTGATTCGATTGTCTCTGAAGTTCAGAATTCTCTGTGGTATTCAAAATTCCTTACTAACTCTGGGAATTCTTTATGACATTCCTTTTCTAACTCTTTTTTCCCTTCCTGGCCCTGGCTTTCTCGGGCAATTCTGAATCGATACTCTCTGCGGTTCAGAATTATCTCTGGTATTCAAAATTCCTCGCTAACTCTGGAAATTCCTTATCGAATTCCTTTCTAACTCCGTTTCCCCTTCCTGGCCCCAGCGTTTCTTGGGGAATTCTGATTCGATACCTAGTCTCTGAAATTCGGAATACTCTCTGGTTTTCAAAATTCCTTCCTAACTCGGGAAATTCCATATCAAATTCCTTTCTAACTCCTTTTTCCCTTCCTGGCCCTGGCTTTCTCGGGCAATTCGGACTCGATTGTCTCTGAGGTTGAGAATTCTCTCTGGTATTCAAAATTCCTTTCTAACTCTGGAAATTCCTTATCGAATTCCTTTCTAACTCCGTTTCCCCTTCCTGGCCCCAGCGTTTCTTGGGGAATTCTGACGCAAGTGGGCCTGCGATTCAAAATTCCGTTTCCCCTTCCTGGCCCCGGCGTTTCTTGGGCAATTCTTATCAGATAGTCTCTGAGATGCAGAATTCTCTCTGGTATCCACAATTCCTTTCGAACTCTGTAAATTCTGTATCACATTCCTTTCTAACTCCTTCTTCCGTCCTGGCCCAGACCTCTCGGCGTCGTTTTTTTTTTTTTTTTTTTTTTTTTTTTTTTTTTTTTTTTTTTTTTTTTTTTTTTTTTTTTTTTTTTTTTTTTATTTATATATATATATATATATATTATATTTATATATATATATATATATATATATATATATAGATATATATATAAAGACCCCCAAAAAACCAAATTCCTTTCTAACTCTTGAAATTCCTTATTAAATTCCTTTCTAACTCCTTTTTCCTTCCTGGCCCAACCCCCCCGGCGTCTTAAAAAGACAACCAAGAAACAACCCAAAAAAACGAAATTCCTTTCTAACTCTTGAAATGCCTTATTAAATTCATTTCTAACTCCTTTTTCCTTCCTGGCCGAAACCTCTCGGCGTTGTAAGAAAAAAAGGAACCCAAAAAACGAAATTCCTTTCTAACTGTTGAAATGCCTTATTAAATTCTAACTCATTTTTCTTTCCTGCCCTAGACCTCTCGGCGTCGTAGAAAAACAAAGCAAAAAACAACCCCGAAAAACGAAATTCCTTTCTAACTCTTGATATTCCTTATTCCATTCCTTTCTAACTCCTTTTTTTCCTTCCTGGCCCAGACTTCTCGGCGTCGTAAAAAACAAAACAGACCAACCACCAAAGCGAAATTCCTGTTTAACTCTTGAAATTCCTTATTAAATTCCTTGTTATCCCCTTTTTCCTTCCTGGCCCAGACCTGCCGGCGTCGTAACAAAACAACAAAACAAAAAAACAGCGCCCAAAAAAAACGAAATTCCTTTCTAACTTTTAAAATTCCTTATTAAGTTCCTTTCTAACCCCTTTTTCCTTCCTGCCCCAGACCTCTCGGCGTCGTGGAAAAAACAAAACAAAAAACAACTGCCAAAAACGAAATTCCTTTCTAACTCTTGGAAATCCTTATTACATTCCTTTCCAACTCCTTTTTCCTTCCTGGCCCAGCCCTCTCGGCGTTGCGAAAAAAAAAAACAGAACAACAAAAAACAGCACCAAACACGAAATTTCTTTTTAACTCTGGAAATTCCTTATTAAATTCCTTTCTAACTCCTTTTTTTTCCTTCCTGGCCCAAACCTCTCGGCGCGTGAAAAAAACAGAAAACAGCGCCAACAAACGAAATTCCGTTCTAACTCTTGACATTCCTTATTAAATTCCCTTCTAATTTATTTTCCCTTCCTGGCCCTGGCTTTCTCGGGCAATTCGGACTCGATTGTCTCTGAGGTTCAGAATTCTCTCTGGTATTCAAAATTCCTTTCTAACTCTGGAAATTCCTGATCAAATTCCTTTCTAACTCCGTTTCCCCTTCCTGGCCACAGAGTTTCTTGGGGAATTCTGACGCAAGTGGGCCTGCGATTCAAAAAATTTTCTTGTATTCAAAAGTTCTTTCTAACTCTTGGAAATTCCTTATCGAATTCCTTTCTAACTCCGTTTCCCCTTCCTGGCCCCAGCGCTTCTTGGGCAATTCTTATCAGATAGTCTCTGAGATGCAGAATTCTCCCTGGTATCCACAATTCCTTTCGAACTCTGTAAATTCTTTGTCAAATTCCTTTCTAACTCCTTCTTCCGTCCTGGCCCAGACCTCTCGGCGTCGTAAAAAAAACAAAACAAAACGCAGACCCCAAAAAAACCAAATTCCTTTCTAACTCTTGGAATTCCTTATTAAATTCCTTTCTAACTCCTTTTTCCTTCCTGGCCCAGGCCTCTCGGCGTAGTGAAAAAAAACAGAACAAAAAAAACGAAATTCCTTTCTAACTCTGGAAATTCCTTATTAAGTTCCTTTCTAACTCCTTCCTGGCCCAGACCTCTCGGCGTCGTTTCTTTTTTGTTTACAAACAACATCCAAAACGAAATTCCCTTATAACTCTGGAAATTCCTTATCAATGTCCTTTCTAACTCCTTTTTTTCCTTCCTGGCCCAGACATCTCGACGTTGTTTTTTTTTTTTTTTTTTTTTTTTTTTTTTTTTTTTTTTTTTTTTTTTTTTTTTTTTTTTTTTTTTTTTTTTTTATATTTTTTTTTAAAAAAGAAGAAAGAAAAAAACGAAAAAAAAAAAAAACAAAAAAAAAAACGACCCCAACAACGAAATTCATTTCTAACTCTTGAAATTCGTTATCAAGTTCCTTTCTAACTCCTTTTTCTTCCCCGGCCCAGACCTCCTGGCGTCGTAAAAAAAACAAATTTAACGCAAAAAAACTGAATTCCTTTCTAAATTTTGAAATCCCTTATCACATTCCTTTCTAACTCCTTTTTCTTTCCTGGCCCAGACCTCCCGGCGTCGTAAAAGACAGAAAAAACGCCGCGCGAAAGCTTCGTCGCAGCTACAGCTACAGCTACAGCTACAGCATTAATTGCTCAGCGAATTATTTACTGTAGCACCCTACAGTACAGCTACAGCATTAATTGCTCAGCGAATTATTTCTGTTACCAACAAAATCAATAGTATAGATAAATCCCCGCCTCGCAACTGGGCTTCACCCCCGCCCTTCCCGCCTCGCGCTCTGGTCGAGTTTGGCTGTTTCCGGCGCGCTGCCCCCCCCCGCCCCCGCCCGGCTCGTCCAGGGCCGTCCTCCAGGACGACTGGCCGGTGCCTCGCCTCGCCTCGCCTCGCCTCGCCCGCCGTTGCCGCGCTGCCTCGTGGGAGGGCGTGCGAGGCGGGGAGGATGTCGGGTATGGCCAGGACCCCAGGTAAGGGGACCCGGTTGGTGGTAGGGCCCCCGAGCCTGTGAATGGGCCAGAATCATCAGACCAGGTCTCGCCCCTGGTACAGATCACGAAACCAGGTTCCACTAAACCCAGTTCTGCCAACGCCCGAAGGATGGCCCACATCTGCCGCTCAGGAGTCGGCGGCGAGCCCGGGGGGGAAGCGAGGAGGAGAAGGCCCTTTTTCAGAAGGCTCGGAAGCCCCCCCAGCCTCCCGAGAAGTCTGCGGAGCCCTCCCCGAAGACGCGGAGAAGACGCCTCCCGAGAAGTCCCGCCGCCTTCTGCGAAGGCCTCCTCCTTCTCGCTCCCCCCCCCCCCTCGCTCGCCGCCGAAGCAGTGCGGGGAGGGCGGAGCGGCCCGAGCACGGCCCGAGCTGCTCAGACGCGCGGGTGCTTGGCCCTGTCGAGGACGGCCCTGCGTCACCCTTCGAGGCAGCTTCCCTCCTGTCGGGGAATAGAGCGTGCTGACCCGCGCCCCCCGTGAGAGCTGCTCGGCCCGCTCCGCGCGCTCGCCGGGCCCGCGCGCAAGGAGGTGTCGAAGAGGCAGTCTGCGTAGCCATACAGGCGGACCGAGGTATCACTTCGGGGTCGGTTCGGGGCGGGTGCCCCGGTGGTCTTCGTGCTCGTCGGATGCTCTGTTGCATCCTGGGAAGGGTACCTCTGGATGTTCTGTTTGCTTTGGCCGGCGGGGGGTCCCATGTTCTTGAAGGATGTTGTTCTGGCCTTTGTCCGACTCAACATTTTCGGGCGTCCGTGCTGATTTTTTGGGTCGGCGCTGATGTCATGGGGGCCTGCGTGCTCCCAGCGCCCCAGCGCCACCGCCGTTCTTTTTATAGGGCCGTCTTTCAGGACGATTCTCGGCGTCCTGTCCAGGCGGCGCCAGGGGCGGCGCCAGAGGCGTCGCCAGAGGCACCGCCAGAGGCGCCACCAAGGGGTCAGCGCAGACCCAAACAATCCGCGCGGTTCTCCGACAGTTTAGCCTGATGCCGAGTGTCCTCCTTCCTCTGCTTTGGCGCATGCGCCCAATCAGGGCACGTGCGGCGAGGAGGGCCAGCTTCCTCGCCAAGCCAGGAGGGCGAAGGCACCGATCCTGGGGTCGGGGCGGGCCTGGCCATGATTGGCGCAGCTGCACGCAGTTCGAAGAAAAACAGCAACGACATAAACATGCACCCTCCACGGTCCGCGCATATTTCTTGGATATCCACTGGACCCCCCTCCCTGGTGCGCGCAGCGCGCCAGGGACGGTGCCAGAGGCGCCGCCAGGGGGGCTCTGCGCAAATCCAAGAACTCCGCTCGGACAAGGTTACGTTTATGCCGTTACTTTTAGGTCGGGCATGTCCCCCTACAGGTGGCCTTTGGACGAAAAGTAAAACATACTCCAAGAACGCCCAGCAATAGTCAAACAACTAATCCAAACAATCGTCCCCAGACTTTTTTAATTCTATTTTTGAATATTCCTCCTGTAGAGGGACAGGCCCGACTTGACGTTGCTTCTTCCTCCGCTACTTGGCGACCCCCGAGGAGGAGGACCTCGGCCGGTGGGCGCTGCACCCGCAGTCCAGCCACGTCGTCGTGGCCGCGCTCGCGAGCTGCGCCGAGGGCGACGCGCAGGCCATCGCCCTGCGGCTGCTCGAGGGCGGCCAGGACGGGGTCGTCGCGCTCGCCAGGAACCGCTTCGGAGCCGGCGTGGTCCGCACGCTGCTGAGGCCGGAGGGGGAGGGCCCAGGCCTGCTCTGGCCAGGAGGACATCACGACAGGCGGGCTTTCGCTGTCTTCGGCCTCTGGCAGGGCCCTCCCCGGGCCTCGGGGCCGTCAAACACGAGCAGCTGGCCCCGGGAAGGGGTCGAGTTCTCCCGGGGTCGACGTCATGAAGAGGTCATGACGCCGCGGGTCTGTCGGGCGGGGCTGGGACGAGGATCAATCCATTCCAGAGCGTTCCGGAGCGCTCTGAGAAGGCCCGCGGCGCCCGAGAGGTCCTCCAGGGCCGCCGGATCTCAGCAGGCCCAGGAGATGGGCGGCGGCGCTTGGCGACGAGGCGGCGACGGCGGCGACATGGCGGCGACATGGCGGCCAGGGCGGCCCGCAGGCCCAGGCGACGTGCGGCGGGCGGCGACGAGGCGGCGACGGCGGCGACATGGCGGCCGGAGCGGCCCGCAAGCCCAGGCCCTCATCTCAGACGTAAGAACCCCGAAATACAATCACTTTTTGGTGTGTATATACGTGTGCATATTACCTAACAGCGAAGACTGATAGGTTTCTAGTTGATTCAAAAGAGCTCACAGATCACTCCACAGGGGGGTCCGGGCAGGCGTTGGGAGTTGCCGGGCGGCAGGGGGCCCCGCTCGTTTTTCACCAACAGTCACACACTTCGTGCTCTTCGAGTTCCCAGAACTCCATTCCCAGGCCACATTCTGGAGGGCCGGATGCAACAGTCACACACTTCGTGCTCTTCGAGTTCCCAGAACTCCATTCCCGGGCCACATTTTGGATGCCCGGAGCCAACTGTAGGCCACTTCGTGCTCTTCGAGTTCCCAGAACTCCATTCCCGGGCCACATTTTGAATGCCCGGAGCCAACTGTAGGCCACTTCGTGCTCTTCGAGTTCCCAGAACTCCATTCCCGGGCCACATTTTGAATGCCCGGAGCCAACTGGCCACTTCTGTCTTCGAGTTCCCAGAACTCCATTCCCGGGCCACATTTTGAATGCCTGGAGCCAACTGTAGGCCACTTCGTGCTCTTCGATTTCCCAGAACTCCATTCCCGGGCCACATTTTGAATGCCCGGAGCCAACTGTAGGCCACTTCGTGCTCTTCGAGTGCCCAGAACTCCATTCCTGGGCCACATTTTGAATGCCCGGAGCCAACTGTAGGCCACTTCGTGCTCTTCGAGTTCCCAGAACTCCATTCCCGGGCCGCATTTTGATGCTGATGCAGAGGCTGAGAATGGTGATGCTGATGCTGAGGCTGAGGCTGAGGCAGGCAGGCTGAGGCTGATGAGGCTGAGGCAGGCTGAGGCTGAGGCCGAGGCTGAAGGCAGGCTGAGGCAGACGCTGAGGCAGGCTGAGGCTGAGGCAGGCTGAGGCTGAGGCTGAGGCTGAGGCAGGCTGATGCTGAGGCAGGCTGAGGCTGAGGCTGAGGCTGAAGGCAGACTGAGGCTGAGGCAGGCTGAGGCAGACGCTGAGGCAGGCTGATGCTGAGGCAGGCTGAGGCTGAGGCTGAGGCTGAGGCGGATGCAGGCTGATGCTGAGGCAGGTTGAGGCACAGAGGCTGAGGCTGAAGGCAGACTGAGGCTGATGCTGAAGCAGGCTGAGGCTGAGGCTGAGGTCGGCTGAGGCTGAGGCTGAGGCAGGCTGATACTGAGGCAGGCTGAGGCTGTGACTGCGACTGCCGCTGCCACTGCGACTGTCATCACGAATGCGACTGCGACTGCGAGAACAGCAGAACTCTACAACTGGATTCTCATTTGAATCTTAAGGGGAATGCTTCCATATATGCTTCTACACATCGCTGTTAGGTTGCTTTGCCGGGATAATATATTTATATAGAGTTATGCATATGTATATGTATGTATGTATGTATATATATATATATATATATATATATATATATATATAGGTATATAGGTATATAGGCAGTAAACAGTGGGAAACCGACCCCAGCCTCCACTATGCATTTTACGTGTCAGCGTTTTGCATGTATGGCGAATGTGCGTAACTGCAGGCGCCCTGTCGGCGAGGCCATTGCCGGCTGACCGCCCCCAGCCCCCACCATGGATTTTACGTGTCAGCGTTTTGCATTGATGGCGAACGTGCGTAATTGCAGGCGCCCTGTCGGCGAGGCCATCGCCGGCTGCCGCAGGGCGGGCCCGTGCGCGCGGCGACGCGGGGCCCAGTCGACGCGGCCGCGCCCGCGCCGGCATTCCCAGGGCCGCGCGTGCCACGGCCGCGGCATGAAGGTTGAGACGACGGCGGCGCTGTCCTCCGCACGGCAGCGCCGCTGGCCCAGCCGAAGGCCCCCCGCCTCCGCCTCTTTCCCCCCTGGGTAAAACTCAGACGGAAAAATTTAGATCGGGAGCGTTTCTCTTGAAGCAATTGTTCCAAATTTCTTTTGCGTCTATGTAAACGTAATTTTCTGTTTCTAAAACTGTTTGGGGCTCTCCCGCGCGAGAATCTTCGCTTCGGGGAAGTTTAGATCGATTTTGTATAAATGAATGTAAACTTTTCCCTCGTGCCGAAACTTTGCTTTCGGGGTGGATCTGACATTTTCGATGCGCGCCCGTGCGGGGCGGGCCCTGGGCCCCGTTCCAGGCTCTTTCCAGCGCCGTCAAGTGCCGACGCGCCCCTTGGTTTTCTCCCTCGCGCGAGCGCGCGAACATCCACAATGGTTTTGGGCGTTGGCCGCGTGCCAACACAAGGCAACGCCACGTTCAAGCGCCAATGAGCTTTGAATCGCGCGGCGAGGTCGTTGGCTGACCGTCGAGCTCTTTCCGCTGGCAGTTCGCGCGTCGCTTGACGTTCCCATTCGTCAAACATTCTTCATGTGGGGGGCGGGGACCGTTTTTTCATGCGTTCATGTAGATGTATGTGTGCATCAATGTGTCTATCTATACATATATATATATATAAATAAAATACGTAAACGTTTCTGTATGTGTTTATGTATATATCATTGTATATGTATATGTATATGTATGTACATGTCTACGTATTTGCATGTACCTATATGTATATATATATATGGATGTATTTATATTCGCGTGTATATGATCGTTGATTACACACGCATTTGTTCCATATTTTACAAAGGGGTGGGAACACCCCGCCATCCCATCCCCCGAACTGGACCCCCAGGGTCGCGGGTTTTTGGGTTCCCAGACATCCTTGCCTAAGGTCCCCCGGTTCGTCCTGGACCTCCCAGGGCGCTTGGCCGGGTCCTGCCAGCAGGCCCCAAGCGATCAGAGCGGTGATCAGAGAGACCGTGAAAATACCCAACACAGCACAATAACGCTCCAAAAAGGACCCATATGGCCTCCAGAGGCCCCCAAGACGGCCCAGGAGGCCCTCAACAGGGCTCCCAGAATGCAGGAATCAGTTCATTCCCTATCTGGAAAAAATGCATTATCAGTGCATTCGCTGTTGGGTCTAAGCAGCGCTCAAAACAGCCAAAAAGGCTTCCGGTTTCGTCCCAAGACGGCCAAAGGACCTCCAAGAGAGCCTATAGACGGCCTGGATGGCCCCAGTATTGCCCAAGGAAACCCAAGTGAGCCAACAAAGAGGTCCAACAGGCCTTCACAAGGCCCCGAAGACGGCCAAGGAGGCCCTCAACAGGGCTCCCAGAAGAGCGCTCCAAGAAGGACCCAGAGGGCCTCCAGAGGCCCCCAAGACCGCCCAGGAGGCCTTCAACAGAACTCCCAAAACGCAAACATCGTTTCATTCCCTCCGGGAAACGTACCTTTTCAGCACATTCGCTGTTGGGTCTAAGCAGCGTCCAAGACAGCCAAGAAGGCCTCCAGTATCGCACCAAGACGGCCCAATAAACCTCCAAGAGAGCCTCTAGACGGCCTGCACGGCCCCAAGACTGCCCAAGGAAAGCCCAAATGAGCCAAAAAGAGGCCTAACAGGCCTTCACAAGGCCCCCAACAGAAGCCCAAGAAGGCCAGGGGAGGTCCCCCACAAGGCCATGGGAGGCCTACAGGAGCGCCTACGTTGCCCCCGTAAGGTCCCTGGGGGCTCCAAGCTCTCCAACACGGCCCAGGATGGCCCCAAGACGGTTCGAGACGGCCCCAAGCGGGCCGCCCACCAGGGCTCCACCAAGGCCCACACGGCGTTTTCCACCTAACTGACGCCAATCCCGGGCTCGCAACCACACATCCCGGAAATCTGCTGCGAACCCGGGATTGGTACATTTCCTACGAATTATTTGCGTTCGCGTGCCCCGTTGCGACCCGCTGCAACCCGCTGCGACCCGCTGCAACATTCTTCGCCGTCCCCCGACGGCGCCCTCCTCATTCTGCCGCTCCACCATTCGTCCTCCCCCACATCCGCTTCCTTTCGTCGCTCTCCGAGATTACCTCCCTCCTATCCTTCGCCCTCCACCTGGCGCCTTTCGAGAGCCCCCAGAGGCCTGGGAAGGACCAGGGGCCGCCCGAACTTCCGAAGACTTATGAAAGCCACCGCAGGGAAGGGGCCAACATTCCAAGGCCACTAGGGATGATGCGAACGACCAACATATGCAAAGCCTCAAGGACCAAGTTGCGTGGCGCGATGCAGTCTTGCAGATTCCCCAATCAGAACTTGCCTCTGTAGGGGTCCTAGCGGATTCGTATGGTTAGGTGAGGTGGGGCGCCGATTTCGGCGGCACGCCCGGGTGCCCTATAGCCCTATAGCCTTACAGACTTATAGTCTTATAGCCCTATAGCCTTTTAGCCCTATATAGCCCTATCGCCCTAAAAGCCCTATAGTCCTATAACTTTATAGCCTTATAGCCATATAGCTCTGTAGCCCTATAACCCTATATCATCAGAGCCCTATAGCCCTATAGCCGTATAGTCTTGTAACCCTATAACCCTACAGCCCCATAGCCCTATAACCCTATAGCCCTATAGCCACAGAGCCTTATAGTTCTATAGCCCTATAGCCCTATAGCCCCATAGCCCTACAGCCCCAAACGGATTCTGATTGGGGCTTTTCTCTGGTATCATATGTATAT